TTTGTTAGGTTGAACCTGTGCATGATGGGAAAATGAGAACAACTTTTAGCTTCAGACATAGAAAAATATTTACCATTTACTGCCAGTAAACAATGGAAGCTAAATATACTTGCCAATTAAGTAATGAAAAGAATTTGTTTTTGATTCGTAAGCAAATGAAGCTCACCAACTTACAATAGGCTAAATTACCTTACAGCATGCTTTCAGTAGTCTATGTTGAAGTTCTTAGCACAGGCTAACTTATCATATCATATCATTATCTAGTACTCATTGATCTACAAAAATGCATTAATAAAAACCTTTTCGATATTTCATACTTAATATAATACCGGTAATCTACTTCAACCTCCTATTGTTTACAGCGGCATATGACGCACCACCAGCTGTTGAGTATCAGCTAGGCGGTACACGTGTTTTTCGAACCGTTTTCAGTTAAAAACTGTTACATCACATGTATATTTTTACCTTAACTGTGCCTGAATGAATATATTCTCGAAATAAATAGTAGTTTTGCTGAAGCGTGATGTATTTAATGTAAAATAGGATAAAATACATGACCAAAAACAAAAGATTTTACCTAACCTTCCGATGTTCAAGAAAGTTACTCATTTTTAATAGTTTTTTTGGTTAAAATATTAGTACTCCCTCTTTATCGACGGATTTTTTATAGACGGTTTCGATTATCGACGGATTATTTAGCCGGATTTTTATTTTGAAATGTGCTTGATATAATCCATTCACGGAAATGTAATATTTTTGCTAAAATGACGTATGTATTACAGTGGAAAGTGGGATCAAATCGTGACGAAAACAATGACTTGCGCTTTCTTTCGTTCAAAAGATGTTACCGTAATCACTTTTCGAATGGTTTAGTTAAAAAACTGTTGTATTGTATTACAATAATATCCTAATTGACTTGAATAAATATTACGATACCATATTTCTGAATATTTTCATTAAAATCCATCAAAATCATTTTCCTTGTCATCGTCTGCAGCACCAAACAGCTTCTCCCAGTCCTCTCCTTGAACAGGGCTAGAGGCTACGTGTTTTTCGAATCGTTTTCAGTTAAAAAATTATTACATCACACGTATATTTTACCTAAACTGCGCCTGAATGAATATATTCTCGGAAATAAATAGTAGTTTTGCTGAAACGTGACGTATTTCAATGTAAAATAGGATAAAATACATGACGAAAACAAAAGACTTTACCTAACCTTCCAATGTTCTTGAGATGTTACTCGTTTTTTTAATAGTTTTCGGTTAAAATTCTGTTATATTACAATGATATTCTATTCATACTGTGCTTGATATAATACATTCACGGAAATGTAATATTTTTGTTGAAATGACGTATGTATTACAGTGGAAAGTGGGATCAAATCGTGACGAAAACAATGACTTGCGCTTTCTTTCGTTCAAAAGATGTTACCGTAATCACTTTTCGAATGGTTTAGTTAAAAAACTGTTGTATTACAATAATATTCCCTCCTAATTGACTTGAATAAATACTTGAATGGAAATATACAATATTTTTGTTGAAAGTACCCGCGTTTCAGTGTAAAGTGTTGTAATAATAAATGGTAAACAATTTGCCTTGGGCATCCGGATTTTTGGACTTTTACTGTACTGTACACTGTTTTGTTTACTGTAAGGACCGATGTTCACTTCAATAAATGAAATCGTAAGTTTGCTAGTATTTTTGTCCACTTATTATATTATTATTTATACACTATTATTTAAGGTTATGTGTAAAGGAAACGCATTAATGCTTAAAGGTACATTTATTCAACATATGCTAATAATAGTTAGAAAAATTACGTAACCATCACGGTATCGACGGTTTCTTTATCGACTGCCGTTTACAGAACGTAACCCCCGTCGATAAAGAGGGAGTACTGTACTGTACATTGTGGCTTGGTGCGGGGTTATGCAGTGTTTACAGTTCACGTTCGACATCACATGTTCAATTGATTTATGTGTTTTGTTTGTGAAGAATTGCAGAAATAATTTATGTAATATTTATGTATACAGTATACCTGTACAGTATATGTAAAATGTAAAATTTTAAATAAGAGAAAAACAAAATACATTGCGTTTTAGACCTGCGCGCTCTGTTTACTCCACACTTTGTTTGAAACACTTGTGAAGTTTTTAAGTGTCCTCAGTGAATTCTGATTACTGTTTCTCCAATTTTGTGACTATGGAAAAGAAGAATATCTCTGGGAAGCACTCTGGTGATCGCATTTCCGGTGGTGATTGTAAAAGAAAGGCTATAACACTTGAAGAAAAGCTTGATGTTTCATGACTCCTCAGCCTCAACATCACCCTTATCCCCCATCAAGTTATATTCATATTTTTTCAAGGTAAAGTGTAACATTTACTGTATGATTTCATTATTAGATATGAATGTAACATTTATTTAGACTGTGCTATCCTTTGTGTTAGGCTAACTACGAAATTTTTTTCCGATTTGGAGTAATCTGCACCTAACCCTATTTTCTCCATAAGCCATGTTATTTCTATTACACGAATTTCTATAACACGATGTTTTACAAGAACACTACTATCGCGTTATAGCAGAACTACCTGTACACTAAAAGTTGACAAAAAGTCGTTCGCGATGCGGCAGGATAAGTATGCATGAAATGGCATGAAATTTTGCACAGGTGTTTGTTACAGCCATACAAACGATGCCTGAAAAGTGCAGCCTGCAACTCAAATAAAAGTGTTTTTTCCCTGCCCCCTAATGTACTATAACGGGTTATTATAGTGTGACCAACATCCACACAGACACAGTTGGACACAGCAAGTGTTCAATGTTGACGAAACTGGGCTGTTCTGGAAAAAGATGCCCAAAAGAACATTCATCACCAAGGATGAAGCCTCTTTACCTGGGCATAAACCCATGAAAGACCGTCTCACTCTATTGCTTGGTGCCAATGCTTCAGGGGATTTCCGACTGAAGCCTATGCTTGTCTACCACTCTGAAAACCCCAGGGTGTTCAAGCAACAGAAAGTGGTAAGAACAATGCTTGGAGTTTATTGGAAGTCCAACCGTAAGGCATGGGTGACAAGACAGTTCTTTAATGAATGGGCTGTTGATGTGTTTTGCCCCTCTGTCAAGAGCTACCTAACCACCAATAAACTTCCTTTAAAGGCTCTTCTCCTCATGGATAATGCTCCTGGTCATGACCCTGACCTTGCCAGAAATTTGGAGTATAAATTTGACTTTGTGAAAGTGTTGTTTTTGCCTCCAAACACTACATCACTCATACAGCCAATGGACCAGAATGTGATCAGCAACTTCAAGAAGTTGTACATGAAGAAAATGTTTAGGAGGTGTCATCAGGCAACTTCCATTGATCCTGAACTAACACTGAAACAGTTCTGGAAGACACAATTCAACGTCCTGGAGGCTGTAAAATTGATTGTGTCATCATGGCAAGAAGTCTCCAATAGAACCCTCAATTCTTCATGGAAAGCACTGTGGCCATCAGTAGTCCATGATTTTGAGGGATTTGAGGATGACACAGAGTTGGACCAGGAGATTGTGTCCATTGGTCAGTCATTGGGTCTTGAAGTGGAGGAGAAGGATGTGGAAGAGCTTGTGATGTCTCATGAGGAGGAACTTACTCCTAATGACTTGAAGGAACTGGATGAGATGTTACGGGTAGAGGCTGACAGTGGTGAGGAGGAAATTGAAAGTGATGACCATATGTCAGCTAAACAGTTGAAAGATGTGATTTACCACTGGGAGAAGTTCAGGGAACTGGCTTCAAAGCACCCAGAAGTGGAAAAAACTGAACTAACTTTGTGTCATGTTGAGGACTCAGTGGTCTCCTTCTTTAAACATAAGTTAATGGTGAGGAGGACAGATGCCCCACAGACCACAATTGACACTTTCTTCAGTAAAAGGCAGAGGGAACAAGATGCTAGCCCTCAGCCTTCCACTTCAAGGAGGAGAGAGGATGTTCATGGTGGAGAATCTGTCAGTCCAGAGGTTCCTGACATTTTCATGGAAGGTGACTCACCTTCCAAGAAGCAGTAAAATGCTTCTCCTCCACCTCCACTTCCTTCTCTTCTCCCTTCTCCTCCTGCACCTCCCACTTCAAATGCACATCATCACCATCATCCAGGAGCCTTCTACATACACACCTCAAAGTAAGTAAATTTTTCCGCCGTTTTTGTTGAAGTTAGGAAATTTTCGGTGAGCTGGAACCAATTACCCAAAAACCCATTGAAACAATGGTTTCGGTTAACAAACGTTTCGGTTAACGAACGACCTTCTGGAACGGATTGAGTTCGTTAACCGAGGGGCCACTGTATATGGTAAACAATTTGCCTTGGGCATCCGGATTTTTGGACTTTTACTGAACTGTACACTGTTTTGTTTACTGTAAGGACCGATGTTCACTTCAATAAATGAAATCGTAAGTTTGCTAGTATTTTTTTCCACTTATTATATTATTATTTATACACTATTATTTAAGGTTATGTGTAAAGGAAACGCATTAATGCTTAAAGGTACATTTATTCAACATGTGCTAATAATAGTTAGAAAAATTACGTAACCATCACGGTATCGACGGTTTCTTTATCGACGGCCGTTTACAGAACGTAACCCCCATCGATAAAGAGGGAGTACTGTATTGTGTATTTTGCAAAGTGAAAGCTTCCAGAAGTTAGGGAAATATTAAGAGTCAACCTACCTGAACACCAAGGCACTGTAATTTTGAGCTTAGAATTAACAGGCTCAGGGTTTATATAGACATTATACCTTATGAACTTTTTTTTAACCATTTAGACTTTTAACATGTGGGAAAAAAGTCAATTTTCCTTGATCCATCATATACTCACATAAGCTGTACTCCGCGAGTCACCATGCAGCTGGTGTTACCAGGAGCTCTCATATGCCTGGCATTTAAATGGTTTCTATGAAAGTTCTATGCTATTTATTATTTATGTTTTGCCACTTTTACTAGTACTGTACTGTATTTCTTGTTTTCTAAATCATTTTTGGGTTTTTGAGCCATAAAACAAAAATTTTATTTATCCTGACCAGGGGGGTACCATGTACAGTAAAAGTCCAAAAATCCGGATGCCAGAAATCCGGACCACCCGAGAATCCGGACTTTTCGAAAACTCAAACTTTTTTTTTTTTAGCGGGCTTTTGTGTGTATGTGCGCATGCGTGAGCGCCACAGCTGCACAGCGACAACAAGCGACCACGTGGTCGCCACTTTAAAACGAGCAATCAAACTGTGACAACATACCGTATATACTCATCTATAACCCCCCCTCGTTTATCGGTCGACCCTGATTTTTTGACCAAGAAATCGTTAATTTATGATATTCCTCGTTTATAGTTCGACCCACGTTTTTGAGGTAATGGAACAACAAAACCTTCAGTAAAAACACTCTACGTCCTATAAACTGAGGGTCGCCATGCCTGAAACACCGAGTGCCGAAGGCAAATTGTTTACCATTTATTATTACTACACTTTACACTGAAACGCGGGTAGTTTCAACAAAAATATTGTATATCTCCATTCAAGTATTTATTCAAGTCTATTAGGAGGCAATATTATTGTAATACAACAGTTTTTTAACTAAACCATTCGAAAAGCGATTACGGTAACATCTTTTGAACGAAAGAAAGCGAAAGTCATTATTTCGTTACGATTTTATCCCACTTTCCACTGTAATACGGGCGTTATTTCAACAAAAATATTACATTTCCGTGAATGCATTATATCAAGCGCAGTATGAATAGAATACCATTGTAATATAACAGAATTTTAACCGAAAACTATTAAAAAAAGAGTAACATCTCAAGAACATCGGAAGCTCAAGTAAAGTCTTTTGTTTTCGTCATGTATTTTATCCTATTTTACATTGAAATACATCACGTTTCAGCAAAACTACTATTTATTTACGAGAATATATTCATTCAGGCGCAGTTTGGGTAAAATATATGTGTGATGTAATAGTTTTTTAACTGAAAACGATTCGAAAAACACGTACCCTCTAGCCCTGTTCAAGGAGAGGACTGGGAGAAGCTGTTTGGTGCTGCAGACGATGACAAGGAAAATGATTTTGATGGATTTTGATGAAAATATTCAGAAATATGGTATCGTAGTATTTATTCAAGTCAATTAGGATAGAATATTATTGTAATACAACAGTTTTTTAACTAAAAACCATTCGAAAAGCGATTACGGTAACATCTTTTGACCGAAAGAAAGCGAAATTCATTGTTTTTGTCACGATTTTATCCCACTTTCCACTGTAATACGTACGTCATTTCAGCAAAAATATAACATTTCCGTGAATGCATTATATCAAGCACAGTATGAATAGAATACCATTGTAATATAACAAAATTTTGAGTCCTACTCTTTCCATTTACAGAGTATTGTACAAGCCCATAATAATGGCTCCTAAAGTAGATAAACTTCGTTGTGTGAAGAGAAAGAAGAACATGTTGAAATTGAGTGACAAACTTGAAATAATTAAGAAACTAGAACGTGCTGTGAACAATACTGTTCTAATGGAAACATACGACATTGGAAAGTCTACAATTTATGATATAAAAAGGGCAAAGAATAAAATTCTAGAATTCACAGCTTTTTCATTAAAACTGCTCGTTTTGATAAATGAAGCATGCTATATTTGCTAATGAATAAACTATCAAAATGTACCTGTTCATCTCTTCTTTATTCCTCCTTAAATTTGAATTTTAAAAGTACTGCCTGAGAATCCGGAAAATCCGAAAATCCGGACCGACCCATTCCCCAAGCAGTCCGGATTTTTGGACTTCTACTGTATGTATAATAATGTGACCTTTTATGAGTTAAGTCTGTGGGACTCACTTTCACACATAGTAGGATAATATTACTGGATTTTTTATCCCCAGGCATGAGGCATCAGTACGAGAAAGGTTGCGCCAGAAGAAAGCCCGTTCTTTAACCAAGCAAGGCAGACAAGCACCTCAGTTGGACTTGTGATATGACTTTTTCATTATTTTGTGACCTGTAACTATTAAACAAATATCACCTCATAATATTTATTCATTAATAACAATGATGCCTTTATCTTTTGAACAAAGAAGTACACTACTACTGTACAGTGATAAAACATATGAACATCTTGTTTTGTATTCATTATGAATTTGGATAATTTTTCAAAACAATAATTACCTTTTTACTTTTGATCACTTTAGCAGTTCCTTTATACTATATACCGATAATTATGTGTGTACTTTTACAGTATAAACACAGAATATAATTATTACTCCCCTGTATCATGTACAGATGTAGGTACTGTAATGTAACACATTGTTATTATTGACTACATATTAATATTGTGTTGTTTTAACCTTAGCCATCATGAGTTGTTGAAGTTATGTTCTCAAGGTGTTACCAGTCATTTAGTGTGTTAGACTCTACCTTGTGTATACCAACAGTCAACAAGTCTGACATACAGCAGCATTACCACAGCTGACTTGACTTAGGATGAAGCTTAAGAATAATGTTGGTTTTGGTGAAGCCAGGGTTGAAATTCTTTGTTGGTGGCCATTTCAAATTTTGGGTATGTTCCACGAAAGTTCCACAGGATGTCAGTGTGTTCATTACTGTATTATTTGATGTGTACTTGACTTAGTAGCAACAAATTCTAGTACTCTGATGTATATAAAGGAAGTATTTGATTGGATTAAAATTGCCAAATTTTGAGGGAATTTTACTTGCTTGGAATTTCTGTAATAAATCAATTTTCTTTATATTTGCCACAATGTACAAGTAGAGACCTAAGAGACTTATGTTCATGAAGCAAGTCTTAACTTGATTAAAACTGGAAGCATAGCAGCGGAGCTAAGCATAGATCATCGTAGTGTCTAATTCTGGTACATTACATTGTAAAGTAAAAGATAATACATTACATTTTGTACTTAGCATTAATTCGGTCTTTGTCTTAAAGTTTTAACTACTGTACTGTTAAAAATTGGACAAGTGTCATTATTAACTCTAACCACCGAAGTGAACCCCATGCCAGAGTGTAAAGTCATATGAAACAGGAAGATTTGAACTAATGAAGGTTATGACAGAAGATATACAGGGGAAACTTTTGTTGTGGCCCTCGACATCTCCAAAGCATTTGACAGGGTATGGCACAAGTCTTTGCTATCTAAACTAACCTCTTTTGGTTTCTCTCCCCCACTTTGTTCTCTCATCTCCAGCTTCCTTGAGAATCGATCCATGGCAGTTGTTGTCGAGGGATCGATTTCTCGCTCTTTCTCTACCAGTAGTGGCGTCCCACAGGGTTCTGTTCTTTCACCAACTCTCTTCCTTCTTTTTATCAATGATTTACTTCACACTACAACTAATTCTATCCATTCTTACACTGATGATTCTACTCTTCACTCTTCCTCACATTTTCCCCTTCCTCCTAACTCTCAAACTAGATCTGTTTCTAGAACTGATATCATTACTTCTATCAACGCGGATCTGTGCAGCATCTCTGAATGGGGAGATACAAACTAGGTTAAGTTCAATAGTAACCAAACTCAATATTTACCAATTACACTTTGTAAATTAGACGATCTCCCACCAATTACATTTCAGGACGCTATCATCCTCCCAAATTCTGAAATAAATGTTAGGCCTCACCATTTCCTCCAATATGTCCTGGAAATCACACATCCTTAGTATAACAAAAGCTGCCTCCCAAAAGTTGGGAATGCTGTACAGATGCCACAGCTACTTCACTCCGGAGCAGTTGCTCCAAGTATATAAGGGATTCATTCGTCCTAACTTGGAGTACTGCTCTCATATCTGGGGTGGCTCTTCTTCTGTCCAACTATTAGATAGGGTGGAATCAAAGGCATTTTGTCTTATTAACTCTCCTCCTTTAGTCGACAATCTCTCTCCCCTTTCTCTTCGCCGCAATGTTGCTTCACTCTCTCTCTCTTTTACAGGTACTTTAACGGGCAATGTTCAGTGGATTTGGCGTCCTGTGTACCGCCGGCAAGGCCGTGGGTTCGTAACACACGTCTTGCCCGCGGTGCCCACCATTTCTCTGTGGATGTCGGTCACACGAGAATAACCCGTTATAGTACCTCCTTCTTTCCTCACACAGCCAAACTGTGGAATGCTCTGCCTTCTTCTGTGTTTCCTTGCTCTTACAATGTCTCACTTTAAAAAGCTGATTTTCCAGCATCTTCGTGGTGTAGATTAATACAGTATAACCTTTTTTTCTATATATTCAATTTCTTTCCATTCTTTTTTTTTTTTCGCCCCCCAGGCTCCGGTGTGGGTTGTTTGACCTGTGCCCGGGTGGGCTAATTCCCGTAAAAAAAAAAAAGTTCTTCACAGTGCTAATCTAGGGTTAAAATGAGTTTTGGTCAGCCAATCTTTTGCAAAATGGAATTCCAAAAGAAAAGTCATTGGTCCTCTCAGATGCCCTCATAGGCCTAGTGGGGGGGGGGGTGATACTAAAGTTTTCTGATAAGGTCATTGTTGTTGATTATTTTGATGTGTTTTCTTTTCTGAATCAATGAAGCAAAGTGCCCCAACACCACACCTAACCCTGCACAGACAACAACAGTATTGGAAAACACATGGCCTACGTACAGGTGATTATCTCCGTTAGCCGGAACAATTGGTGCAGAGCACTTCCGGTAATGAGAGATTCCCGGGTAACGAGACGACTCTCTCAAAGCCGGAAAAAATCCCTCGTCCTCGTGATTTTCTGGGTAACGGAAACATTTTCTCGGAAGTTCCAGAAATGCCCATTACATCATCTCTCGAATCCGGAAAAATATCCCTCATCCCAGGAATTTTCCAGGGAATGGAAAAATTTCTCGGATTTAAAAAAAACTGATTTTCATCTCTCAAACCTGGAAAAAAAAACCCATCCCCTGAATTTTCTAGGTATTGGGAAATTTTCTCTGAATTTTCCAGAAAATGTGTCCCTCGGAATATCTTTCCCAAAGCCGGAATTTCCCGGAAAATTACGGCTATCGGAGAGTTCCGGATTTGAGGGATTCCGGCTAACAGAGATACAGTCTCTCCTCGATTTACGGCAGGGTTCCGTCTCGTCGACCAGGTTCTAAGTCGAATTGGTCACAAGTCGAAAAGGCGAAAATAATCCATAGAAATTCTAAAATGAAATACAGTGCAGTAAAAGTAATCATTAATGAAAAATGATTACAGTGTTACTGTGCACTTACCTTTAATGTAGTCGGCTGAAAGCACACGGGGCCTCAATAATTTTTTAATTAAGCATGGAGACGACATTAATTGGATGAAGGAAAGGAGGAGATGGCTGGGTGGGTCATCAAGTTTGCTTTTTTCAGACAGGCTAACATACTTGCTTGTTGAAGGTATTGGATCATCTTTAGGGAGTGAAGAGGCAGCACTGGTGGGGCGTGAGGAGACAGCAGTGGGGGACTTCTCAAAATATGTGTCCAATTTAGACTGCACAGTTTGCCTTTTCTTTTCATTGTAAATCATCCTGTAGCAAGCAAGTGCATCTTGGATCATTCTGTCAACTTTTGTAAAACGCTCAACATTTTGATCCATTCCGTCAAACATTTGCATCCCCTTATTAATAGTAGCAAATGCCTCTGCCATTTGCTTCACTGAAAATTTTTTTGGGGGTGCAGGTTCTTCTGCTACATTTTGAATCTCTTCTTCCTTTGCAATTTTCTGTGCCTCCAGTTCAATAAGATCCCCATTACTTAGCTCTTCTGCTACACTTTCAACTAATTGCTCAACATCTTCATTATCAATTTCTAACTCCAGCTGTTGACCCATCTGCACTATCTTGTTACTGATCTCAGAAATTGCTTCATCTTCATTAAAACCTTTGAAACTGTTCACATATCTTTTCAGGACTTTCCTCCATATTCCATTCATGCGCTGACCTGTAACCTCATCCCATGCTGCAGCTATGTTCTTTGTACATTGCAAAATGTTGTGGTCCTTCCAAAACTATCTGAGCGTTTTCTCACCTTCAGTAGCAGCAATAGCCTGAGCGAAGGTCGTACGTAAATAATACGCTGTAACAGCAGCAATAGCACCTTGATCCATGAGTTGGATGATAGAGGTAGTATTAGGTGCAGGTCGTCCAGGTGTGGTGGGTGTCCCGGAGCATTATCTAAAATTTATAAAATCTTGAAGGCAACGCCTTGGTGCAGACAATACTCCTATGCTCGTGGAATGAAACAACTTAGGAACCATTTCTCAAACAGTATTAGGGTCATCCATTTTTTCTTATTACTGCGATAAAACACTGGTAGTGTTTGCTTGCTGACATGTTGAAAAGACCTTGGATTCTTTGAATGATATATCATGAAGGGTTTTTACCTTGAAACCAGCTACATTCCCCCCCAGCAGAAGTGTGATTCAGTCCTTGAATGCCTTGAATCCCGGCATGGTTTTCACCTCTTTGTAGATGTATGTCCGTTCTGGCATGCACTTCCAGAATAAGCCAGTTTCATCCACATTAAATATTTGCTCAGGCAAATAATTTCCCTCCACGATGACACGATCTAGCTCCTCCTTAAAAGCTTCAGCAGCACCCACATCAGCACTTGCTGCCTCTCCACTCACCTTTACATTGTGCAAATTGTAATGTTTCTTAAACCTTTGGAACCACCCAGGACTTGCTGTGAAGTATTGGTTGCACTCATCTCCTGCCTGCTCTTTCAGACTTTCGAAAAGGCTTCTTGCCGTAGCCTGTATGGTTAGAAGGCTTAAGGGTACATGCTTTTGCAGCTTTCAGTCCATGTCACAAGTAATTTCTCCATCTCTTGAAAAGGACCTTGCCTTTTTTTGGTTATAGTTCCCTTACTAGGTACTGATCCTTTCACTACCTCACGA